AAATTTTTTCGTTTCGACCGTAATAGAAAAATTTTTTGCAATTTATTTTGGTTCATTTTGGTATTTTCAAAAAAACAGAGAAGATAAGCTGTTCTATAATAATCATAGTCGGAGAATATTAACGAAAATTTGAGGTGCATTGTTTTTGTAAATATGGCGGAATGACAGAAAGCAAAATGGCGAGTTGGTAGCAAACTTAAGTTAACTGTTAAATAATAAAATGAATTTCAATCGCTCCTTCAGATGCCAAGTACAAAGTTAAATAGAAAAGAAAGACTTAAAAAAGAATTATTCCGAAGAAAATAAAGATAAAAGCTGTAAAATCTGTTGAACTGAAAAAATTTGGCCAGGGAGCGAAATTTACACGCGATTATTGCCAAATTAAATACATTACGATCCTATTGTTATATTTGGCACTTGTATGTTGCAAAGTATCGCTCTCTCATATTACTACCCCAATTTCTACTTATCCAATTTTCCCTTAATTCAGAAAAAGTAAAAAAAAATAAAAATTTCCCTAGATTCACAATATTTCCATTCATCTAACACATTTCACACAAAATTCTCAAAGTTATTCCTTCAATTTTTTCATCCAAAACTATTCTAAGTCCCTCTATATCAAAAATTCATTGAAAAGTCTCTCCTCCGATTGAAAAGTTTCATTAACACTAAAGTCCACTCGAACGATGCTCTCTAAAGAAACTTCAGTGAAATATCTCACAAAGAGGGACTTCAAAAAGGTTGCTGCAGAATAAGGTTGCCTTAATTAAGTGATAATTATCCTCACAATTTCGTCGGAGAAGTGTCCGGTCGAAATATTCCGATGGTTAAATTGCCTAGACGTCGAATTGAACATAGTCTAATTGAATTTGCGTTTCGTTACACCATCGAGAGAGGAAGAGGAGAAGAGAGACAGATAAACTCGGAACAGAGCAACGATAGCTCTCTCCTCTGTGACGTGACGGTAATTTAAATATTCTACCTCGAAAAAAACCTCGTATCGACGCATCTCGTGATTGCTTCTTATTTCCTTGTCCTCTCGATTGCGATACAAGATGGCCGCGGTTCCGATAAAACACTCCTCGTTTTATCACCTCCTTTTTTCTTCAACATTTTCATTATCGACATGCAACGATAATGGCGGAAATATAGAAATGCACATTCTACTCAGAAAACCAGTTCAATCGAAGGAACGTCACTTTCAACCGTGAATCTATCGGCGGAAAGTAACAAATCTTACGTTTAAGTACACACTGTGGGTGATCAAATTATTAGAGCCAAAATACGAGAAATATGTTTTTCGTGTTTGCGTAGAAATGAAATCTCAATACCAAAGTTTTCACGCTAGATAATTTTTAATTAACGAGCTTACGTAGTTACAAGAAATGCAGTTAAGAAGTGACAATAAAGCGAGTGTTTGGTAGAGCTACCCTTAGCTGCAATCACAGCCTCGATTCTTTTTGTCGATACATTCCAAGTAATTCGCTATGCATTGTAAATAGTAAGAACACAGCAAGAAAAATAAAAATGCTCAAGATCTATAAACCAAGAAAACTGTAAAGTGGCGGTTTGCCTAATTTGCCTAAAGACAACATTGCCTAAATTGTTGCCAATTTGCAATTCGTAAACATCACGTAAAATGGTCGATTTCTCACAGGTGGTTAGGATCATTCAATCACCCGCTGCCTTTATTTCCGCGAGAACGGTGAAAATTGAAGAGGACAGTAGAAAGGTACAACTCGAATAAGAAAATATGGCGGTACACAGAGAGAGAGAGAGAGACAGTGGCGTGGAGATTTCCACGGAGGATTTAGAGATTCAATAACAACATGTGCACGTAGTCGAGCGGATTGGACATTGCGAAAGAAGGTCGAACGAGCGAGAAAGCGGACAGTCAGCCGGTCTGCCTCGACAAGGCAAATCGGTAAGCTTCTAAAACGAACTGCAATCTTTCTGCGACTGGCATTTGTCGTCGTATCTGTCGATAATCGTGCATTCCGCTTGGTCGAGCGCCATAAAGGAGCAATGGCGCGGTTCGAGTCGCAGGGTGTCGCTCCATAGCTGGATCTCGACACTCGAAATCGCCTCGGTACGCTTCGAGAAAAAAATGCTACGGGAAAAGTAAACCTCCCGGTAGTTATTTCACTGTGACAGCAATACCCT